ACTTTTTAGAAAATATAACATATCTTTAATAAATATAATATATAGAGAAAAACTTAATCGAAGAAATCACATGAGTAAACAAAAATAATGATTCAAGAAGTTGATGAAATTACATAAAAATATTCTTCTTCAGTCTTTGGTGTCAGGTAACAAATTGTTTTGCTCTGCAGAAGCAGGAATTGTCTCACCCAAGTTTATTTTGGAATTAACTTCAACAAAGGAAACCGCAGAAAGAATAGAAATGATCTCTACGTCCCGCTTTATCATAGTTTTAAAGGGGAAAAAGACAATGTAGAAATTAAATAGGTGCCTTTTGAGAAAAATAGAAATAATTAATATAAGTGTTAATATTTCCTTTGAGGAAAATCATAATACGTTAAGTGTACATCTTTTCTTATGAGAAAAATATAAATGTTAAGTTTAAATCCTTTCTCTTGAAAAAAAAAAACCCAACAACATCATGTTGCGTTTGAATCTTTTCAACTGAGTAAAAATCAAAATATGTGAAGCAGAAATCTTTTTTAGAATGATAATGTAAACTATGAAGAAAATCCTAGCCTGAATAAAACTCAGATCAGGAACTTTCACTCCCCTAAAAGGAGAATTTCAAAACAAACAAAAACCCAAAAGATTTCCATTCATCGACAGCCGGCCAGATTTGATAGACTACTACTTTCCTACTAGGTGGTGTTTCTGGCGATAGTGCTGAGCCGACACACGCCATCAAAGACGTGCTGGGCCGGACCGCTTAGCTGGACGTTGGTCAGCACCACCGGACGACGCCCATTTTCCGGCATGTTCTGAACCTCGACATCAAAGGTCACGGTCAGCAGCCCTCCGGGCATCTGAACTTTGGTGATGACCTTCCCTTCGGTCAGGTTGGAGCCGTCCAGGTCGCAGGTCTTGGTCTCCTTGAGAAGTCTCATGGCGTCGTAGATGAGCTTGGACGGCGGGCTCTTTTCCGCGCACCTCACGAAGTCGGCGATGGCGACGGCGACCGACCCCGTCCCGCAGGCCAGAGTCTCGCCCTCCACGCCTCGCTCATACGTGCGGGACATGAGACTTTTGTGAAGAACTTTCGCGCTCTTTTTGTTCTCCTCCTGTCGGTTAAGTGCGTCCAACGTCAGGTTTTCCAGATCGGACGCCGCTTTGTTATCATTCTCTTGAGCAAGGGGAAGGGACGAGTTCTTGTCTTCCCCCTTACTCGTCGTGGCGAAGTTGATGTTGCACCCGCCGATACTGTCGTAGACATTATACCTCAGGTTGCTGCCGATCGTGAACACGTCGACGTTTTCCAGATCTCCGTCCGTGAAGATGACGTGGTGGGGTGAACCGTTGTCCATGAAGTAGTCTGCGTTGGCGTACTTTCTCACCGAGCTCAGGGGTATGTCCTTGAGACATAGCGTGTACTCCCCACAACTTCCGGCTGACGAGCCCCCTTCTTTCACGGCTCCGTAGTACACACCGTCGTAAGCCTCGAACGAGATTCTCTTCTCGTCTCCGAAGCGAACCCCTACATACCTCGCGAACGCCATAGCGCATCGACTTCCGTTTCCGCACAGTGTTCCAACTGCTCCATTTGCTTTGTGGTAGACGAGTTTGAAGTCCGCGGTCTCACTTGTCTGGAGTTCAAGGACACCGTCTGCTCCGAGTCCGAATTTTCGGTGACATAAATCCTTCCTTTGTTTCACAGTAAGGTTCAATGACCTGTCTCTATTGTCAATAGCGATAAAGTCATTTCCAGCACCGTGAAACTTGGAAAAGTGCACCTCCATCTTGCTGGTACTGGTATTCTGGGGGGG